GATAAATATATTATTTAACCTATTGAATTTGAACTGACGATGAGACACAATGAGATGGTTCAGAACTCAAGAACTTCTGATGGAGAGTAGTTCCGGGAGATTGAGTACCATAATTAAGGTAAGTTAATAATGAACATACAGCTCTGTGTTACTGTATACAGTGGTTTCCCCTCTATCTGTTACCATAAGTTAACACTATAACACCACCATCCATGGTAAAAGTTTGTTCAAGGCTGTGTAATCGCTTCTAACGTTGTAAAATATTCATGACATGATGTCATAAAACCTAAAGTCAACTTCTATGGACAAAACACATAGCCGTCAAATTACATCAAAATAGGAAACAAACGATGCATACAACTTATAGGGTACTTCAAAAGCCGACAAACTACATCAGAATATTAACAGGAAGAAAACACCGCCAAGGTTCTGCTTCTTTCCCTCATTAACATTTTTCAACAAAACCTTACTTTGAATGAAACATACATTTATTGATTATTTGTGCTTATAATTTCATGAAAAATTGTTTTTATTTCCAATATTTCCATGTGTTACAGCTATACTAGTAAACAAATAGCTTTCAAAAGAATATAGCGAAAACCCCACTTACAGAATAACCTTAATCGTCGAACAGAAGCTTGGCCCTGAGCGTGATCTTGATATTTTTTATACTGCCATCCTGATGTTTTATATTCTTTGTAAAGTAATTATGGCTTATTTGAACATTTATTCTTTCAATACCCCGTGTTCCTTGAACTTTGATTCATCCCAGACCATTCAAGGATTTTAAGAATTCTATTAGTCCATTTGGCTTGTTTGTATTTTACGTCCTATTAACATCTATGGTCATTTAAGGATGTGCCAGGTTTTGGTGGGGGAGGAAAGCCGGAGTTACCGGAGAAAAACCAACGACCTACAGCCAGTACCTGGCGACTGCCCCACGTAGGTCTCGAACCCGCAAACCAGTGGTGGAGGGCTAGTGGTAGCAGAATGTCAGATGCCTTAACCTTCGGCCCCCCCCCCAATAGGTGTCCAAGATTCAGACAGATTGTATAAAGACTCAACATTATAGTTGTCTAAAATCTGGAACCTGTCCAAAGATATGTATTGTATTGACAGTGAACTACACTTGATGGCTGGGAGAAAAACTTCAAATTGAAAGATTTAGTTCTTACTCTGCACATGAGAGAAGACAGTGTGCAATTCTATAGCAACGATAAGCTCAAGATGAACGCGCTGGGAAATTACCTCAGACAAACCTCTATAAGGTTTCCCGACAGTAAATTACAGAGTCAAGCAGAATTCATTACTCCAATCGTGTAGAGTAATGGTCTTCTGGAAACATTTAACACTAAAGAAACCTGTAGCTAACCGGAAATGACCCTAACTTGTAGTCCCAGCCATCCTAACTCATTTCTGATGTAAGTGCTACCTGTACGACAATTTATTTTGTGGTAGTAAAATCTTATTTTGCTTAAACACCAACTTAAGCTTTAATAGCCAGTTACTAAGCAACACCTGTCCCTCGATAATCTAACACACTCTGGCGATAAACAGACAGTAACTTCCTGTGGAAATGCCATGTTTGGGCCTACAGCATCATAAGGGACAATTTACAACCCTACGGGGCTACTGCTTCAACACAGTTATGAGAATCAGGAAAATTTATTCCGCACCACAAATGCTACTTGGTTTTGGTCTGTTGTATGCTGTTTCCGTGAAGTCGGCCACAGGGAAATCAAGTTGCTACAATATATTGGCAATGGCAGGCCTGGAAAACTGGCAGTTAAAGAGAATTTTTCAAGACAAAAGGTTCTGACTTACTCCTTCATTTTTTTCAACTGTAGTCACTGAGAATCAAAGACGTAACGTGTTGAGTATAATGACTGGAGAGATACACATTTACTTTTTAGTTTAAGCAGAATATATAAAGATTTAAAACAGGGTACAGGATATGTTAAGATTTAAAACAGGGTACAGGATATGTAAAGATTTAGGACAGGGGACATAACATGTTAAAATTTCAAACAGAGCACTGAATATGAAAAGATTTAAGACAGGGTACAGGATATGTAAAGATTTAAAACAGGGCACAGAATATGTAAAGATTTAAGAAGGGGTACATAATATGTTAAAATTTCAAACAGAGCACTGAATATGAAAAGATTTAAGACAGGGTACAGAATATGTAAAGATTTAAGACAGGGTACAGGATATGTAAAGATTTAAGACAGGGTACAGAAAATGTAAAAATTTCAGACAAGGAACAGAATATGTAAAGATTTAAGACAGGGTACAGGATATGTAAAGATTTAAGACGGGGTACATAATATGTTAAAATTTCAAACAGAGCACTGAATATGAAAAGATTTAAGACAGGGTACAGAAGATGTAAAGATTTAAGACAGGGTACAGAATATGTAAAGATTTAAGACAGGGTACAGAAAATGTAAAGATTTAAGACAAGGAACAGAATATGTAAAGATTTAAGACAGGGTACAGGATATGTTAAGATTGCAAACAGGGCACAGAATATGTAAAGATTTAAGACAGGGTACAGGATATGTAAAGATTTAAGACAGGGTACAGAATATGTAAAGATTTAAGACAAGGAACAGAATATGTAAAGATTTAAAACAGGGTACAGGATATGTAAAGATTTAGGACGGGGGACATAATATGTTAAAATTTCAAACAGAGCACTGAATATGAAAAGATTTAAGACAGGGTACAGGATATGTAAAGATTTCAAACAGGGCACAGAATATGTAAAGATTTAAGACGGGGTACATAAAATGTTAAAATTTAAGACAGGGTACAGAAGATGTAAAGATTTAAGACAGGGTACAGAATATGTAAAGATTTAAGACAGGGTACAGGATATGTAAAGATTTAAGACAGGGTACAGAAAATGTAAAAATTTAAGACGAGTAAGGATATGTAAAGATTTAAGACAGGGTACAGGATATGTAAAGGGTATGACACAGAACGTGTATGGTTTTAAAGAATAGGAATGGACAATTCACTTGCCTCATTGTAGTTTCATCACCACAATGCATTACCTAGGAAAGTTCTGCTAGTGAGATTTTAAACTTAATTTTAGAATCAATAAACAGTCAGCTCTCTACGTGTGGTTGGGCCTTAGCCTAACTACAGGGAAGCTTGTGTGTATACCAATTAAGCTAAGTAATAGAGGTTGTTTATAACTTAATGGTTGTTGCTGAGGCCTAAAACACTGATGCTTACCAGACTAAGGTACACAACTGTTGTTGATGAGGCCTAAAACACTGATGCTTACCAGACTAAAGTACATGTAAATATAAGTCCAAAGGCACTTGTGACTAGAAAACAGTTACTAAAGAGTCAATATTCTAACTGTTTTTAGAAGAAAATCTGAAATGTCAGGAAAAAGTGATACTATAACTAGCCACATGCCTTATACGGTGGAGTGTGAGTGATCTGCCTTATCCCTGACCACAAACTGTCTAGCCTTTTCTCATAAACTATGGACTACCCCTGAAATAGAACCCGGAAAAACAAGCGATCTGGCATATTAAAAGCTGACTGTGGATATGTGGCCATCAAAACAACCTTCATCAATCATCCATCGTGACGGGGTAAGTAGGGAGATTCCAGACGAGACCTCACCAAATACCGCTGTAACGCAGACTGCCCCAGTCGCAAAACCAATGGCCCAGGCTAGGCTCTCATATTTCTACAAGGATACCAAGTCAAAACTTCTCCCAGAATTCCTTAGAGGTGGATGTGACATGAAGATGGATATGTTGTCCATATTTGTCGGGAGAAGAAGGTGGTAAGAATGTAATTTTAGAAGGCACTCATTAGAATAAATAAAAGTGAGCAGACGAAGATACCCACCCCCACCCCCACTTCCCCCTGCAGCTTTACCCATGACCTCTGACCCTTTAATCTTGATCTATGACCACAAACTGTTCTCAGGTATAGAACTTGATATTACCATACTATGGCGTACATATGAACTAAATATGTTCATGAGATATCTTGTGCACAAGGTTTTTACCTCAAAAGTTGTAAAGTGGGACCTTTGACTATGACCTTTGACTATGACCTTTGACCCTTTTGACCTTAACTGTCGACCACCCAAATCTAGGGTTAGGGTAGAACATCATATTGCCACACTATGTTGTAAATATGAACTAAATGTGTGGAGCGGAACATGAGATATATGAAACAATAGATTTTTACTTCGTACAGATACACTTTCACACAGTCAGCTCAGAATTTGGACCCTGTGTCTGAGAGTAGACAACAACATAAAAATGAGATTTCATAACACAGCTCAAATCTTAGTAATAGATGATATCATTGAAAGGGGAGACCACTCATTAATAGATGATATTGTTGTAAGGGAGGATTACTCACTAATAGATGAAAGTATTGAAAGAGGAGAGATTACTCACTAATAGATGATACTATTGAAAGGGGAGACTACTCACTAAAAGCTGATATCTATAAAGGGCAGTCTATGCTCTAATAGATGAATACCAACCACTGATAATTGAAGGGGAGATTACTTACTCATAGCCGATACTTATAAATGGGAGACTACTCAGTCACTAAAAGCTGACATTTATAAAGGGAATACTGCTTGTTTAGATGAGGAAAACCCTCTCTAACATGAACATGTGATGGAGGGGGAGACAACACACTGCTAGCTGAGTAGCTTGGTGCAAGTTGATCTACGATGAGGTTATATTGAGTGAGTGAAGAAAAGGGAGACAACTAACTGATAGCCGAGTAGCCGGGGTGAGTTGATCCCTGATGAAGTTCTATTGACCGAGTGAAGAAAGGGGAGACAACTTACTGATAGCTCAGTAGCCGGGGTGAGTTGATCCCCGATGAAGTCATATTGACTGAGTGAAGAAAGGGGAGACAACTAACTGATAGCTGAGTAGCCGGGGTGAGTTGATCCCTGATGAAGTCATATTGACCGAGTGAAGAAAGGGGAGACAACTTACTGATAGCTGCGTAGCCCGGTGTGAGTGGATCCCCGATGAGGTTATACCGGACATGGTAGAGCTGTATGGCCCAGCCAGGGAGCCACCATGTGTGTGGGGCCAGGTACGACTGGTTATGGGCGAAGTCCACTGGGTCTGAGTAAAATATCACACCTGATGCATTGTTGTTTTCAGCATGCCGCACCTGAGGTCAAAGGTAATAATGAAACAATGCATTGCAAATGATAGAAATCCTTTCCACTTATAACAGTCTGTTAAAGAGAATACTGCTTGAATCTTCACTCTAGCAACTTCAATATCTGATAGCGACAAAACTTTTTCTATAAATAGATGATAGTGACCTTGACCCTGGCAGTATCACCCGGAAACAAAACTAAAATAATCTCGCTGTATCCTCGTACTAAGTGTTATATCCCATTCAAAATTGAAGTTGCTAGAGTGATAAGAGATTTGCTTACAGATCGTAACAATGACTTCGACCTTTTATTTCCAGTATTAAACATGAACTTGCCTTGCATTCCTGTAAAAAATACATAAAACTACAGTAATGGTTTTGTTTTCTACTGCAAACAACCAATATCTATGATACGGACGGACGTTTTCATTGGTTTGTGTCATACAGATGATTTTACGCCTGACAAACAGTGAAAATGATTGGAATCAGCACTAAAGTCACATACATTGTAGACCTACTTTCGGTATGCCACATTCTGCAATCCCCAGTTGAACTTCAGCAAACTATGGTACATTCACTCGAGGTGACCAAGTACAACAGATATATCTCAGACAAATCAACTGGAGTGGACAGAATGACAGATGCCCTGATGGTCGGAGTGCAAACCTAGGCCTGTAGCTCCTTCTAGTAGTACCAGTAGGGGAGTTATAACTTCACAGGCATACAAAAACAATTCTAATAATTTTCAATATATATATTTTACAATAATTGTTTTTCTAAAAAACTAAAAATATTTGTGAAATTGTGACACAATATTAAAGCTACAGGTCATCTGGGTCGAGAACATCAAAAGCAAGCTACCATGAAATTAAAATATCGTACAACATGGATCTGTTCACGGAAATAATGTCTCTCCCTGGGCCAGTACATGTGTGGTAGAGTTATACACAATACATGGGATACAGGGGACTTTGGGGCCCAGCAGTGGAGAAATGGCAGCATTCTGATCGTAGCTAGGATAACTGGGATCGCTTGGATAAACGTGTATCCCTGTGGATGAGGAAAACTACTGATACACAGAAGGGGAAAATGTTTAATGTAGAATTTCTGCTGGTATGATGATATTCAGTGATGATGTCTGTCATACTGTGTATATTGAATATCTCTGCATCCATCTAACAATGTGGAATTTCTGCTTGTGTGATGATATTCAGTGATGATGTCTGTCATATTGTGTATATTGAATATCTCTGCATCCATCTAACAATGTGGAATTTCTGCTGGTATGATGATATTCAGTGATGATGTCTGTCATACTGTGTATATTGAATATCTCTGCATCCATCTGATTATTCATCGACGTTACTACTTGACCATATCCAGGGTTGAATGTCTTTGAAGCTGTAGTCATGGATGAACGCATTAAATTTTCTACTTTCATATTCAACGAGAATTAATGAACCAAGTATTGTAATTACAAGTAGAGAGAAGGATCAACATTGAGGCACGTCTAATGGTGTGCAGCACTGTAATTTCACAGCATCAAACTTTTATGGTTTTGTTCTTGGAACAAAGTTGTGGCATTAAATTATTGTGTGACATCATTAACAGTCAATAGTCTGCCATATTTCACCTAAAACAAGCCCTGGGGCTCAACACATACAATGTAGTCTGGTGGCTAGGGTGGCTAATACACATAGTCTCTTACTGTAAGTAGTCAGGGGGCTAATACACATAGTCTCTTACTGGAAGTAGTCAGGTGAGTAATACACATAGTCTCCTACTGTAAGACGTCAGGTGGCTAATACACATAGTAGTCTGCCATATTTCACCTAAAACAAGCCCTGGGGCTCAACACATACAATGTAGTCTTGTGGCTAGGGTGGCTAATACACATAGTCTCCTTCACACAGTCTCTTACTGGAAGTAGTCATGTGACTAATACACATAGTCTCGTACTGTAAGTAGTCAGGTGGCTAGGGCGGCTAATACACATAGTCTCCTTCACACAGTCTCTTACTGGAAGTAGTCAGGTGAGTAATACACATAGTCTCCTACTGTAAGAAGTCAGGTGGCTAATACACATAGTTTCTTACTGTAGGTAGTCAGGTGGCTAATACACATAGTAGTCTGCCATATTTCACCTAAAACAAGCCCTGGGGCTTAACACATACAATGTAGTCTGGTGGCTAGGGTGGCTAATACACATAGTCCCTTACTGGAAGTAGTCAGGTGAGTAATACACATAGTCTCCTACTGTAAGACGTCAGGTGGCTAATACACATAGTAGTCTGCCATATTTCACCTAAAACAAGCCCTGGGGCTCAACACATACAATGTAGTCTTGTGGCTAGGGTGGCTAATACACATAGTCTCCTTCTGGAAGTAGTCAGGTGGCTATGGTGACTAATACAAATAGTCTCTTACTGGAAGTAGTCATGTGACTAATACACATAGTCTCCTACTGTAAGTCTCCTACTGGAAGTAGTCAGGTGACTAATACAAATAGTCTCTTACTGGAAGTAGTCAGGTGGCTAAGGTGGCTAATACACATAGTCCCTTACTGGAAGTAGTCAGGTGAGTAATACACATAGTCTCCTACTGTAAGTAGTCAGGTGGCTAGGGTGACTAATTCACATAGTCTCTTACTGTAAGTAGTAAGGTGGCTAGGGTGGCTAATACACATAATCTCTTACTGTAAGTAGTCAGCTGGCTAATACACATAGTCTCTTATTGGAAGTAGTCAGGTGGCTAGTGTGGCTAATACACATAGTCTCGTACAGGAAGTAGTCAGGTGACTAATACACATAGTCACTTACTGTAAGAAGTCAGGTGACTAATACACACATAGTCTCTTACTGTAAGAAGTCAGGTGAATAATACACATAGTCTCTTACTAGAAGTAGTCAGGTGGCTAGGGTGACTAATACACATAGTCTCGTACAGGAAGTAGTCAGGTGACTAATACAAATAGTCTCTTACTGTAAGTAGTCCGGTCGCTAATCCACATAGTATCTTACTGTAAGTAGTCAGGTGGCTACTACACATAGTCTCTTACTGTAACTAGTCAGGGGGCTAATACACATAGTCTCCTTCACACAGTCTCTTACTGGAAGTAGTCACGTGGCTATGGTGGCTAATACACATAATCTCTTACTGTAAGTAGTCAGGTTACTGTAAGTAGTCAGGTGACTAATACACATAGTCACTTACTGTAAGAAGTCAGGTGACTAATACAAAGTAGTCAGGTGACTAATACACATAGTATCTTACTGTAAGAAGTCAGGTGACTAATACCCATAGTCTCTTACTGTAAGAAGTCAGGTGGCTAATACACATAGTAGTCTGCCATATTTCACCTAAAACAAGCCCTGGGGCTCAACACATACAATGTAGTCTGGTGGCTAGGGTGGCTAATACACATAGGCTCTTACTGTAAGTAGTCAGGTGGCTACTACACATAGTCTCTTACTGTAAGTAGTTAGGTGGCTAATACACATAGTCCCTTACTGGAAGTAGTCAGGTGAGTAATACACATAGTCTCCTACTGTAAGACGTCAGGTGGCTAATACACATAGTAGTCTGCCATATTTCACCTAAAACAAGCCCTGGGGCTCAACACATACAATGTAGTCTTGTGGCTAGGGTGGCTAATACACATAGTCTCTTACTGTAAGAAGTCAGGTGACTAATACACATAGTCTCTTACTGTAAGTAGTCAGGTGGCTAATACACATAGTCTCTTACTGTAAGTAGTCAGGTGGCTAATACACATAGTCTCCTACTGTAAGTAGTCAGGTGGCTAATACAAATAGTCTCCTACTGTAAGTAGTCAGGTGGCTAATACACATAGTCTCCTACTGTAAGAAGTCAGGTGGCTAATACACATAGTCTCCTTCTGTAAGTAGTCAGGTGGCTAATACACATAGTCTCTTACTGTAAGTAGTCACATGACTACTTACAGTAGGAGACTATTTGTATTAGCCGCCTGACTACTTACAGTAAGAGACTTTGTGTATTAGTCACCTGACTACTTACAGAAAGAGACTATGTGTAGTAGCCACCTGACTCCTTACAGTAAGAGACTATTTGTATTAGCCACCTGACTACTTACAGAAGGAGACTATGTGTATTAGCCCCCTGACTACTTACAGTAGGAGACTTTGTGTATTAGCCACCTGACTACTTACTGTAAGTAGTCAGGTGACTAGGGTGGCTAATTAATACACATAGTCTCTTACTGTAAGTAGTCATGTGACTAATACAAATAGTCTCTTACTGTAAGTAGTCAGGTGGCTAATACACATAGTCTCCTACTGTTAGTAGTCAGGTGGCTAGGGTGGCTAATACACATTGTCTCTTACTGGAAGTAGTCAGGTGACTAATACACATAGTCTCTTACTGTAAGTAGTCAGGTGACTAGGGTGGCTAATCAATACACATAGTCTCTTACTGTAAGTAGTCATGTGACTATTACAAATAGTCTCTTACTGTAAGTAGTCAGGTGACTAGGGTGGCTAATTAATACACATAGTCTCTTACTGTAAGTAGTCATGTGACTAATACACATAGTCTCTTACTGTAAGAAGTCAGGTGGCTAATACACATAGTCTCCTACTGTAAGTAGTCATGTGACTAATACAAATAGTCTCTTACTGTCAGTAGTCAGGTGACTAATACACATAGTCTCCTACTGTTAGTAGTCAGGTGGCTAATACACATAGTCTCCTACTGTAAGTAGTCATGTGACTAATACACATAGTCTCTTACTGTAAGTAGTCAGGTGACTAATACACGTAGTCTCTACTGTAAGTAGTCAGGTGGCTAAGGTGGCTAATACACATAGTCTCTTACTGGAAGTAGTCAGGTGGCTAGGGTGGCTAATACACATAGTCTCTTCCTGTAAGTAGTCAGGTGACTAATACACGTAGTCTCTACTGTAAGTAGTCAGGTGGCTAGGGTGGCTAATTCACATAGTCTCTTACTGGAAGTAGTCAGGGGGCTAGGGG